AATGGGCCCCAAAACCTTGTTCTAGTGATTAAAGGCGCTATGTCCGGGTTAAGGATCTTGCTTATTGGGATATGTTGTATAAGTTATGTGCTTTCCGTCCTCCTCTGCCTTGGGCGAACTTCTTCCAGAAGAGCCCAGGTTTCCATCACACCCGACACTATCAGCTACAATGCTGCTTCTTAGTAGCTGAATGAGCACACTTTACACTTTTTGGGATATTATGACCCCTGATAGAACTGAAAGTGTACACCTATTTTGGGCCAATGAACTCAGCAACTGAGGCTTTGGCCGCCAGCAAAGCAGGAAAAGCCTGGCAATGGGCAGTGCAATTGCTCAACTCCTTCCCGGCCAAGAGTCTCCTGCCGGATGCATCTTGGTTTTGGGGGGTCATAGGGTTTAGGAGTTTAGGGTTTAGGGTTTAGGGGTTTAGGGTTTAGGGTTTAGGGTTTAGGGTGCACTGACTCAGCAAGTGTCTGATTCGCGCATCGTGTCGCGCATACATGCATGCATGCATGCATGCATGCATGCACACATACACATAGCTACACACATACATCTATCCATGATTACCTGGAGAGACTTGCGAGGAACCCCCCCAAAAAAACATCCTCCCAGGCAATCTCCTTCAACACAACCCTGACGGCCGTGGTCGATGCTGTCCACTGGGAGAAGGCTAAACCCTGAACCCTAATCCTTAAAACTTTAATCCCTAGCCCACACGCTAATGAACCTTTAATCCCTAAACCGTACACTCTAGTTCCTAAACCCTAAACCCTAAACCCTAAACCAAATCCTAGACCCTAGTTCCCAAACCCTAAACCCTAAACCCTAAACTAAACCCTAAAACCCTAGTTCCCAAACCCTAAACAGGCTCTTGGCCTCTTCGATGTCATGCCTGAGCGTCAGGCCCCAGGGGTTGGGAGTTGTCGGGTTTGCTTTAGGGCCCTAAACCCTGAACCTTAAACCCTGAACCCTGAACCCTGAACCCTTAAAACCTAAACCCTAAACCCTAAGGGTGCAAAGTTTAGGCAGGGCTGCTTTCGAGTTTAGGGTGGCTTCAGGGCTTCAGGTTTAGGGTTTGTGGGGTTTGGATGGGCTTTCAGAGGACAGGACTTCAAGGTTTATAGGTTTTAGGGGTTTAGGGCGGCTATGGTCGCCCCTTGAGGGTTTGGGTCTCGGGGTCTTGGCTTTACGATTGCCTCTGCAGGGCTGTGCGGCTTTCAGAGGTCAGGACTTCAGGGGTTTAGGGTTTAGGGTTTTAGGGTTTAGGGTTTTAGGGTTTTAGGCTTAGGTTTAGGGTTACGGTTCAGGGTTTAGGGCACGCTGTAAGTTACAGAATACAGATTTAGGGTTGAAGGTTTAGGGAAGTTCCTTGTTTCTAGTAGATGGGGATGATAGGTCTTTCAGGCTCAGGACTTCGGTTTCAGGGTGTTAGGCTTGGCCTCTGAACCCTAGGCATTCGGGTCACGGAATCTCAGGTCCGTCTCTGCACATACGTAGGTTTGCACGGTTTAGGGTTTAGGGTTTAGGGTTTAGGGTTATGTATGTAGCTTCGGATGTATGTGTGTCGGCTTCCGTTTGTCGGTTGGTCGGTCAGTCGGTTGCTTGTTTCGTGGTTTGTGTATTGGTTGGTTTGTTGGTGTGGCCGTTATCGTTTGATGGTTTGTGTTTGTGTGTGTGTGTGTCTTGCTTGCTTGTGTGTTTGTTGTTGAAAGGTTGATGGTTGAATTGCTTGCTGGTATACAGTAAACCCCAAAAAGTTGGAAACCGACAAATAGTGCTGGGATTCCCTATAGATTACTCTTAAGGATTGAGGCTGTTGGGTTTCCAACTTTTGGGCTTCTACTGTACGTTATCTAAAGTTCGCAGACCGGTACAAACATCAAAATCACACCGATGCTTGTCACACACAACACACACAGTCTCTGTCTCACTCTCTCTCCCTCTCTCTCCCTCTCTCTCCCTCTCTCTCCCCATCTCCTCTCTCCCCTCTCTCCCCCTCTATCCCTCTCTCTCTCTCTCTCTCTTTGTCTTTGTGTCCGAGTTTAAGATCTAGGGGCATCTACGGGTGCTGCAGGCCAGGATCTAATGTAGCCTTTGCTTTTGGAACGGAAAAACCTAGTCCATTAGTACTTCAACCCTTCGAGTGAGTTTCTGCTACCAAGGTCTCCATATTCAATACTCATCCCCACTAGCTGGCCACTATGAGGGTTCAGGGTTCAGGGGTTGGGGGTTTAGGATAGCGAAACGCACAAAACCACTGAACATAGTGGGTTGCAAACATGCAGGCCCCACAGCATCCTCTTCTGTTAGGATACGTGCTACTCCATAAGAACCCCTCACCACGCTCTGACTATGCTGGCCCGTGTATTACCAGTTTCTACATGTCTGCAGGTTGGTAGGGGCCTTACCAAGGAGCCCTAAGCCCTGAACCTTTACCCTAACCCCTGCGGGTACCTAGGACAGAGGGTGCTAGAGCCCCTAGGGCCCTATATGGTAGGGACCTGAGGGTCAGGGTTAGCTCTAAATCCTAAACCCTAAACCCTAAACCGGAACGGTAGCGGACGCCAAAGCAGGGGACCAACACTACTGGGCGACTAAGGTTCAGCCAAACATCATCAGCTACAATGCTGCCATCAGTGCAGCGGCAGTCGAGTCGCGGTGGCAATCGGCAATGGATCTTTTTCGCCACTGGACTCCGGTGATGGGGCTGTGGTGACTTATGTAGGTTCTACTGGGCTTATGTATTGGGCCCTTGTTGTTTTGAGTGCCATGTTTAAAGCCTGCAGCGACTTGGGGCATTGGTTGAGTGGCTGTTTCTATTCGAGTAAGATTCGGCTCAGGGTGTATAATGATCAGTAGAGTCCAAACTAAATCCACTCGGCTTCCACGAGACGAGTGCAAGTTTTCAGGATCCACAAACTGACTGCATGATTGACTCTAAGTCTAAGGTGTCCATATATCTGTCATATCCTTTGGCCTTAGACGGGTTCCTATGCAGTGACATTCGGGTCCAGGGATCTACTTACTGAACTAGATATGGGCACAGGGACCATGCAAGTCTCAAATGAACCCCCTAAAGTTGAACCCAGCTGCCAAACCCAAAAGGGAGGGAATTACAACAGAAAACTATAGGTAGCCTGTGCAAATCCCTTTTGGAACCTTTCTTACGCCCTTTAGAAACTCTGTACAAACCATGAACAACAAGGGTCCACGTACTCCTTTATCATATACCTCTGGCCCTTAGTGTAGCCCCTGCTTAGGTGCTTTGGAGCCCAAGCATATACTACATGAACCCTAAACCCTAAGCTCTAAACCCTAAACGCCTAACCCCTAAACCCTAAACCCCTAAACCCCATAAACCCCTAAACCCCTAAACCCCTAAACCCTAAACCCTAAACCCCCAAACCCTAAACCTTAGGGTAAGGAGCCACAGACGTGTCGACTTGATCAAGCTTCTGGCTTTGGGTTCGCAACTGATAGTTTGCAATGTAGGGGTCGCGTTTTAGGGTTTAGGGTTTAGGCTCTTAGCTCCTATATCATCACACTTTGTATATCGCCCAAACCCTCTTCCAATTACCAACAGAAGGCTCAAAATAGCCGAAAAGGCTCATATGGTAAGGTCTTTGGCCCCACAAGCCTTAAAATGTGAGTCCTCAGAGCCTTAGAGTTCAGGCCCTTACATGAGGATCTTTCGGATTGTGCCTGACTGACGGTTGGACTTTTGGTTTGAGGATTTGGAGGTTTAGACAATTCAGAAGGGTTTTGGGTTTTAGGGTTTAGTCAGGCGTGTCATGGCTTTAGGCTTTAGAGTTTACGGTGTAAATTTCGGGTTTAGGGTTGAAGTGTAGGGACCTCCGAAGTTTCAACTCCAGCCTCAACGCTAGCAAGTTGCGCGTAGGGTTGAGAGTCTAGGGTTTACCGTATTGCCTGGACCCATAGGAACCCTTATGTTTAGGGTTCCTTATTCTGAATTCGTTATACGAGTCCTTGAAAAGGTAGGTTTTTTCGTGCCCAGGTAGTTCTGACTATACATATATATATATATATATACCTCGGAATTGTTTGCTCTTTCTACGTGCCCATCCGAGGTTCTGCGCGGGATGGAAAGCTCGCATGCGACGTGATGTCCTACAACGCGGTGCTGAAATCTCTCGAGCTTGTCAAACACTGGACTGTGGCTTTTGAACTGCTGAAACTGGGCTGCCCTTACGGGTTTAGGGTTCAGGGTGTAGGGCCTTGATTCATAATGCAGGTGCCAGGACATGTACGCAGACCACAATTTTATCAACGGCTGAGAGCTTCAAGCCGTCAACACTAAGTCACTGAACGCAAGGTAAATGACTCCAAGCTATACAGTTGAAGTCTTCCACAGTTTAAAGTATCCTGGGGATCCCGGATAAGATCTAATTACGACATGCTGTTGGCATGCTCGCAAGCTTTCGAATTTGGCCGCAACGCAACTTGCAACACGTTGTTTTACCGACACACCAATCGAACTAGTCCTTACCTAGACCCGAATGCAGCAGTTTAGTTTCTTGTGAGAAATGATCAAAATATACTTTCTGGGGTCTAGGCAATCCGATAAAGGATAGGGTGCCCAGGGTTGATACTGGGTTCTTGTTAAGGATTTTCATTAAGTCACCAGAATGGAGATAGCAAATTACAGGGTTTCTTTATTTTGAATTCCGGATAGCAGTTCATGGCGGCCGTGCAACATTCAGAAAATTGTACTAAACCGTGGAAGCTCAAGACTAAACCCGCACCTCTACACCCGAAGCCTTACCACGGTTTAAGGTTTAGGGTCTAGGGTTTAGGGTTCATAAAACCTTAGGGTCACTATGGCCCGAAAGCCTTTGTGCAGCATGGTCTTTGGGCCCAAAATCAATATCTATGAGTCCTGAGAGCCTTTGGGTCAAACCTCGCCGTGCGAATGAATGCCCCAAACTTACACATCCCAGCCCCTCACCCAAAGGGTCCTAGGTACTGTTATAGGGGATACTTCCACAAACCTAACTCCTAATATGGAAACCTGACATTCTACGATATAGGTCTTTCGGACCCTTGATGGTACCTCCAAACACACAAGTTTCAATCCCTAGCCTGTGCAAGCCTTCGAATCCTGGACCCTAATCTGTCCAAGCCCATAACTGATATAGGGGCCTGAATAATTACC